TTTTCCCTAGGAAAATGAAGATGCTAGTAGAATCTGTGTCATAGGGCTGTTTAGAGAATAGCGATAATGTATAAAAATCACTTAAATATTATATTTTCTACTTAATATTTCTCTCATCTCTAAAATAAGAATAATGCAGTAAAGGGAACACTGTCAGGCTCTCTGGTCTCCTCCTAACTATGTACTGAGAGCGTGTGGTGAAGTTTGTAGATGGTATTGCAATCTAGGTTTAAGAATGCCTCAGTCTCACCCTCCCACTCACCCCTTTCTCCCCGTGTTGAGTTCAGCAGAGGGAGCTATATGGATAGGAAAAATAGCTAGATGGGAAACAGATTCTCTTCTAGTGATGTAAGCACTAATCAAGGCAGGTCTTTCTAGCTAAGACTGAATCAGAAAACACAGTGTAGACATCAAGGTTTAAGTGAAGACCTCTGTTGACTACTTCTTAAATCAGGATAGCCCTGGCTAAGGTGCTTCCTCAGTTGCCAACAGAGATGTGACATGACCAGCTTAGTCTAAGAAAGGAGGCCCTGCATCAACCTTAGACAGTAGGGAAAATGAGAATGTCCTGCTCTTGAGCTGATCTTTAAACCATATTCCCTGACCTAAACCACACCACTTTGTAAAATGTGGCCCAATGAATGTCCTGGCTTCTGACCAAAGAGATCAACAACCCTTGCTCTCATGACAGCTGGGAGGAAGCTGAAGGATCATCACTTTCCTAAATTCCTTCTGAAAATGTGGAGTCTGTTGCACTGGGGCTGCTAGACTTAGCAAATAGAAATATAGGACAAGCAGTTTAATTTGAATTTCAGATAAACAAGGAATTGTTTCATAGTATAAGTATTAATATGTCATGTGCAATATTTGGGACATTGCTTATACTAAAGTATTATCTGTTATTTATTGGAAATTTAAAGTTTAAATTTACCTGACAAGTTTGTTTCTAACAGTTTTTTAAGGTCCATTTGGTAATGATTTATTGAGACTGATAGAAAGGCTTTCAGAGCTCTTTGGGAGGTTGTCCTGTGTGTTGTAGGATGTTTAGTAGCATTCTTGGCTTTTAATCACTAAAGCTTAATAGCGTCTTTCCTCTTTCCATTGTGATAACCAAATATTAATATGCCTCGAGACATTGCCAGATGAGTGCCAAATCACCCCTAACCAAGAACCACTGCTTTAGAGACAGTAGCAAAAGCCAGGCTATGAAGCATATCAGGATAGTAGACCAGAAGGTGGCACTTTTTTTTTTCTTTTTCTACTTTTTTGGCCACACCACATGGCATGTGGGATTTAGTTCCCCGACCACAGGTCAAACTCACAGCCCCTGCATTGGAAGCATGATGGAGTCTTAACCACTGGACCACCAGGAAAGACCAAGAAAGTGGCACTTTTATCCAGCACTGATGCAGATCCTGTCCTTACCTCCATCCCTCATCCGTTCCCACATCCTGGGATCCTTCACAGTGATGTAACGAGCTGTCTAGGCCTATGTAGAAGGTCCCAGTAATCCAGTTTTGGTCCAGTGTTGATTATAATCACTAGAAAATTATGCTCTATTCACTCTACCTTTCTAAACAAATCAATTGAGCCTCTCTATGGCGTGCTGTGATTCATGGGGTTGCAAAGAGTCAGACACAACTGAGCGACTGAACTGATGGCTCCGCTTCAGGTTTTAACTCAGATATCCTTTTTGAAGAACACCCAACAAAATATTAAATCAAGTACTTAAATTTTATAATTTTATCACAGGTCATCAGTTTGTGTAACCTGGGAAACAACATTTAATGGGCAAAATTCTTAGAGTCAAAGTGCCTTACTTAAGTGTATGTACTGTTCTTTTGTTCAGTTTTGTAAAGGGAGAAATTTAGAGGCATTGGATAATGAATTCTGCCCTTCAGACATTTCCACCTACACATTTATCCTTGAAAAAATGCTGATATGCCTTCATGTGATATTTCCTATTTGTGAAGGTTCCCTGACTGAATATGTTGTCTCATTTCTTTGGGACAAAAAAAAGAAAAAACTGAGGTGACTTTTGCCTTATTAACTTTGATTGTCCAGCATTGATAATTAATTTTGTAGGCCTATCAGCTTATATAGTGGGAAAATTTCATTAGCAAGTTAAATGTAACTTCGTTTCTTCATGGCTTCCCATATTTTGTAGGTCTTTAGAGAAGCAATGGTTTTATAAAAATCCATTGAGCAGAGCAAAGACAATGTACTTATCTGGTTATATTGTGTAGAAAAAAAAAAATCTGGAATCCCTATAAAGGTTGTATGTTCTCAGAGCTCTCTTATCTAGTGTGCGTCCTTAAATCAGAATGTTCTTTTCCCTAAGAAGCCCACCTTAAAGAACAACATTATCTTTATTTGTGATCACAGGCTTTCATCATGGCAGAAAAAAAAAATCTGAATCTTCTCAGGCTCAGATATTTGTATTTAATCAATAACTATGTTCCTTTTTCATCTGTCTTACCTCTGCAATTGCATTTTCCCAGCTGTGTATGCTTTATTGTGTAAGAATTCAATTGAAAGAGCCATTCATGTTTGCAAAAAGGATGATGTTTTATTATTGGTGATAAAGAAAAGAAATTTCACACTTTGTATAACCGACCCTTTCTTTTAGAGCATGGCAAATTCTGAAAGTGAGGAATAAGTTAACAAACCGTGGAAAGAGAGGCCACAGAAGGATCTTGTAGTATTCTGACCACAGTATAAAATAAGACCTGACAATTTTTATGTCTTTAATTGACAAGTATTCAGTTCACTTCTAAAATGGATCATCTTTGCCTAATTTGAGGGTTATATAGACTAGAAAGAGTAAGGGGATGATAGTCAAAATATTTAACATTTATATGACATGGCCTGATTAATGAGATGAGATACTATATTATTGGGACAGGATCCCAAAGACCCTCTACAGGTCCAGATGTTCTTCCTTGAGTGACTGGACCGTGAGGAGGTGGGTGGGGGCTTGGAGAGAGGCCAGGTGGTTAGGAGTATGGGAGAAGCCCTAAGGAGGCTCACAGTAGCAACTGTTTCTGAGCCAGTCTGGTAGTATTTTGATATTTGAGCAACTGGAACAGGTATACAGCTACCTGTATGGAGCTGCATAGAGCTGAACTAAGAAGTAGAGAATCCTGGGGTAATGCATGGCCATTAGAACTCACCGCTTTGAGTTTCTGACACTGCCATTAAATCACTGTATGATCTTGGATCAGTCAGTACTTGGGGGACTGTTTTTCTCTTACAAAAATATTGGGTAACAATTACTTTAGGTCCCCTGCTTAATAGTATATATTTTTCCATCCTAAAGATCTGCAAGTTCTATACATACAGTTGTCTCTAAGCTTCTAGAAAGAATTGAGACTACAGTGTTTCATAAGGTTGGGTTCTGTCTTGCTCTGTGCTTTGTGGATAACATGATAATTGAACAGGGACGAAGCCTGCAGTAGCCGTAGATACACTGGGTTACGAGGAACAAGACAAGAACAGTTCAATGTTTTTTATAAGGGCAGTTTAAAATATTTTCAAAAGATTAAGAGTTTTCAGTGTTTCAAGAAAGTTATTGCATAGTAAAAAAATGTGCTAGTTGGCTACAGACACAAACCAAGTATGCCTTTTGTCCCAAGTTGCCGAAGTCAGGCAAAGATAGATATTTTGGAATTTGTTGTTGTTGTTGTTTGTCTAGATCATAAAAGTTCCCTTGACTCATTTCACTTTTGTGTTCTTTGGTTATTGATAAAGTGTGTTTTTTTACATTTGATGAAGGTAGTGAGATAGCGCCATTAGAATATTTAAGAACACGTTTGTGAGCAGTGCCATGCCTACAGAGACTAAAGAAAATTCAAGTGACTTCACCCCCCACAAATTGTTTTAATTTGTTTGAATTGTTTGTTTTAATTTGTTTGAGTCAAAAGTCGCTTTCTAAGTTTTTACCACATCTTAAAAAGATTTGTTGTAAACATGAGGAAGTGCTCAATATAATTGTGAATCACTTGAATTTTCAGAAAAAGAAAAAAAGATATGGTTTCTGAAGCACATTCTGTGTTAGGAAACTCAGTGCTGAATAAGTACCTGCACATGTATTTCTTTCGGGTTCCTACACAACTGATCATTTAGTAAAATGAACTGGTTCTGTTTTAATATCCTGTTGCTTATTGTACCTGACAAACAGAAATGAGGAAAATGAAGAATTGATGATCTGGGGTCATTTTCTTGAAAGTTGCACATAATTCCCATTTCTGCTTATTAGAATAAAAAAAAGATTTTCTGTAACAAATTAAGAATATGCATAACCTGTTATGACATAGTCATAAGCATATAATAATATGGCCTAGAATTACAGTACTCTCTCGAAGTACATTATATTCAAAATTCACTGGATATGTCTTAGAGACATCTGTTGTAATTACAGGAACACGGTTTCTAATTCATTTAATTCCCTTTTCTACCTAAACTGTACATATAAGTGAATTTTAAGAGACTGTATAAATAAATTTTTAATTACAAAATGATGTTATACAATACATTATTAATAATAACCAACAATGCATAATGTTTATGCATGAGTCCATTGGAAAGACAAGCTAATGTATGTCAGTTCTAAAAGAATGCACTAATTTGTCCTGAATTTGTGAATGAAGTTGAATCCATGATGCAAGCCAATGAGTGCAATAACACAGAATGGTTCTGCATGCTATTTTGCAGTCAAGAAACATCTTGTACCTATGGCATTTAAGAAGTATTTAAGATTTGTTCATCACATGTGATCAAGATCTGATTTTTCAGCGAGCCATGCGGTAGGGAAATTTGGAACAAGACCATTGAGTTGACAATACTAGCTTTTTCCCAGACAGGTGCAGAATAAAATGGTCTAGAGCATCCAAGAAATATGTACAGTCCTTACATTTCAGCACATGAAAATCACAGGCTCATTGTCATGAAGTTTCCCCTGAGGGCCAAAAGGTCTGCCTGAATGTGGTCCCTTTGTGGCACTAACGATAACAGATTTCTGAAATCTCCATGGCCAGCTCCAGACACTCACTGGTCTCATGACATTCAAAAAGGCTGCAGTCAATGTCACAGTTGCAGTTGCAGTCATTCCGGGAGTGGCTTTCATCTGAGGTGTGATGGTACCTGTGAGAGGGGCAGCAAACATTGATACACACAGTTTCACACGTGTCCGGGAGCATCAGGAGACAATCCAAAAACTGGCAGAACAGACAGGTGAGGATAAGGGAGGCGCAGTCCTCTGTTGAAAGAAGAAAGAAAGACAATTATATGTGGCTCATCTGGTGACGCAGATGCAGGGCAAGCATGTGCAGTGGTGTACTTGATAACTTTATAGCCGACTCTTAATTATTTATCTGTATTGGGGGTGACGTACACCGTTATTTTCTCAAGTGCTCCCACCCCCGTCCAGTACTCACTCTAGTTAAGTAATTGCTTTATTAACTTCCTGAGCATTTCCTATTGATTCCACATAATCTGGTTATTTAAAGTGCTGTCCCTTTTCTAAACTCCTATATTTACATTGTGTATAGAGGTGCTGGGAAGCTGCACAATTAGCTACCTCTCTTGAAACCTTGCAGTGGTCTGAAAAATAGCAAGTCCTCTCCAAGTGCTGGGAGCTTTCAGGAGCAATTAGATTTGGGGACAAGGAGAGACCATCCACATTTCTGGCTTCTCGTCACAAGGCTTTTTTATTTGTTTGATGTGGATTCCAGTAAATCTGCCACACCCATATTCAATGCCAGTGAAAAGCACATTTCAAAACCTAACATAAATTACTTTTTAAATAATCGTAGTTGTTTGTGGTAGTCTATTATTTTTAAGCCCTGTCTCATTTTTCCTCCAGTTATGTAAAGCCTTGATTTTATATAGTTAAATGAAATATATCATCATATACACCTAAAATGATATAAATCTTATCAATCCTCTGTAAGAAAACTGTTTTAGAAATTTGCTATGCAGGCTTGTAAAAATATGAAAAGTATCTCTAAGGCATTGAAGGTAATTGGTAATTCTAGCCAAGCAGCTGTTATGGGTTATGGATTATTATTATTATTATTTTTTGGTTTGTTTCTATAAAGGGAATTAGTTAGAAGATGCAGCAGCTCTTTTGTTAAAATTATAACTTCTTTCCTTTTCTTTCTTCATCTCTTCATCCTTCCTCCTTCCCTCTTTTTTTTTTTTAGTTAAGAAAATCTCAAAAACTTGTAAGGGTTTTGAAAAAGGGTAGGTAAGTGTTCATGTGATATATCATCTAATTAATTAAAATCAGTATGCTGAAGACTGCTAATGGTTGAAAGTAACTAATTTTAGTGTGAATTGGGGGAAATTCCCCTCTCCTAATGGGCATATTAATCAGTTAACATTATTAGACTTTTGTAATATATTTTTCCTCCATTAAGAATGTTAGTAATCTTTGGTTTTCAGACTTCAGTTGACTGACTACACAAGCCTGCAAATTCTGCTCTCTGCATCATCTGCCAGTGCTGTCTAAATGTTTTTAGGTCCCCATTCATTGACTTCTTAAGAATGTCTTATGGAAAACTTTTTTCTGTTATTTATAACAGAACTGCTGTTCCGTTTCACAACACTGCTTAGTGTTTAAGAGAAGGGAGAATATGGAAATTCTCTGAAAGGGAACAAATATTTTAAATAAACTCATTCTAATTTATTTAAAAAAAAATATATATAAAGGTCTCAAATGAGTTCTGCATACAGGTAAACAAAAATCTTCCTTCATCCCTCAGTCCCTCTGCCCCTCTCCCCAGCCTCTCACCCTCTGATTCTTTCTTCCCAGTAAGACAGAGTGGTAAAGAACCATGCCATAACTTTTATGACCACTTTAATTGCTATATATTGTTGCAGGTGCTGTGGCCATTACTCAGTATTTATAGTTTAAGTGGCCTATTCATAATATGTCTATGGTGTGTGTACTCATCTCTTCGCCAGACAGGGTATATTTTTATTCCCTCAGAGCCAGTTTCTATCATGTGGCCAACTCACCTATATCTCATAAGTCACTACAAATCACCCACAAAAATTCAGAAGTGAGTGAGTGCCGTTCGTAGACTCTAATCTCAGTATGCATTTCTGAAGAGGGCATGTTGGTGGTCAAAGATCTTGGGCATAAAGCCTCATCACTTTTTTTTAATGCCAAGACTGCTGCTCTAGCAGCCCCTGGCAAAGAAGAGGCTTTCAGGAGAAAATATTCCAAGCAAATGCTCCCTGATCTCTTAGACTGGAGAATCAGAGACTTACTCAGGTCTGTGACCATATAAAAATAATTTACCCACCAGATCCTGTCATTTGTAAGTATTAAAAGACTGAAAGTTTGGCTTAGAAATAAGTCAGGTTGGGTGTAGGGTGTCCTCTGGGGATGGGAGCTGGTATTTCCTATCAGAGTGTGAAAACCTGTTTGTGAAATGGCCTTGTAATTTCCTGTGTGTATATAACTGTTTGGTTTGAATCCTCTTGCCAACATCTCCTCAAGTTGTCAGACCCTGGAGGTCTCTGCTTCTGATGTACACCATAGATTTTATGTAGAATATTATATATATCATACTATATACCTAATCCTTTGGTCAAGCTGGCATTTGTTTCCTTCCTTGCCTCTATCTTGCACTTGAGAATAGAGCCCATTATTCTTTTTCTGTTTATAAGTCAGTCCTTTTTATTTGGTTATAAAAGCAGAGCCTCTAGCCCAGAAAAACATGGCAGCATTAATGAATTGAAAACAGATTTTCCCCCCACTTTCAAGTGTGTTCCACACAGTTCCTAAAAGATGTATTAAATAATTCTGCATGATCAGGGGAAACTGTTTTGCATGTGGTCCATTTTTGTTTGCACAGAAGTAGTGTAAGCAGTTCAACTGTTTGAAAAGAGAATTGGACTTTCCATTCTCCTGAATGGGTATATTTTCCTTTGCCTGCAGTATTCCTTGGGACTTTAATGTTGCGTAAACTTGATGTTCCATAGCCTATCATTAGCACTCCTCTTGACCCATCTAAAACATCATGGCATCGTGCCCAGCATCCATCCAGCTGCCTGCGTCTCATCTCTTCCTCACTGTGTTCAGAACATCTCTCACTTACTAGGCCCACGTTGCATCATGGAGCTCCCTCTTTCCCACATTCCACAAACCTGTCTCTTCCATAATTTTATCTTGTGAATGGCTCCTGAACACACATATGGATTTCCTCAAAGCTGCAACTCATTCCTGTCATTTTTCTTTTCCTCACCATACCCTCCCCAACCAATTCTCTCCTGAGTTTCACTGACTCCTTTGCAGATTCCTGTTTTAAACTCGTCAGTCTCTGTCCACTGTCTTAGCTGTAGCCACCATCAGGTCCCTGGAAACAGCCTCCTGTCCAGGACACTGCTTCCACATGAGCCCACCTCAAATTCATTAGCCCCTGTGATATTTAAAATCATAAATGAGAACATCTAACTCTCCTTTTAGAATTAGGTCCTAAATCCTTAACCTCTGGCTACAAAGCCCTCTGCTTTGAATCTTCTCTTTGGTTTTATCTTTTTCCAAATGCCCTTCTCTCTGTGGCTTCTGCTAGTGCCACTTACTTCTGTTTTGTCTACTAATAGTTACTGGTTGCCGAGGAGCTAATGTCCGTGCTGATGATCTACTGGAGACCAGGAGGGAACAAAAGAAGAGGTGGCAGAGCTTTCCTATTATTGCTAATTTCCTCACTTGACTTTTCAGCTGTCTTCATACCTTTGCAACACATTCATTATGTATTAAATTCCTTTAATTGAACTACCTGACATCACAGCATAGTCTCCGCATGTTTCTGTCAGGATACCCATCTCATTTCTCACTTCTTCCTTCCTTAAGCCTGGGTTAAAGGAGATCTGAGGCTTTCAGGCTGTTCAGGCGAATGTGGTATTTGCCTTTGAGCAAGAAGCCCTGACAAACCCCTCTTAGGGCGCTTTTATTTCCTCTTTGCTTTCGCCCATAGGGCGCAAGGAGGCTGTGAAGACTGTGAATCTTATGATCCTGAAGGACGGTTGCAGCCTCCGGACCATTCCAAGTGTAATTAGAATATTGGCTATTTAAGGGGCAGAATCTGTTTCTGTTTTGTATATACATTCATTTGTATTACTTTTAGGTTCCACATATAAAGTTTGTCTTTCTCTGCCTGACTTACTTCACTAAGCATAATATTCTGTAGGTCCATCTAAGTTGTTGCAAGTGCCAGTACTTCATTCTTTTTTATGATTGAGTAGTATTCCATTGTGGAGAAGTCAATGGCAACCCACTCCAGTGTTCTTGCCTGGAGAATCCCAGGGACGGGGGAGCCTGGTGGGCTATGGGGTCGCATAGAGTCAGACACGACTGAAGCGACTTAGCAGCAGCAGCAGCAGTATTCCATTGTATATGTACACCATATCTTAATGTGGTTGCTAAAGGGGAGATAGAAGGTGGGGGCAAATTAGGGGTATGGGCTTCACAAACTACAGTATACAAAATAGGTAATCAACAAGGATATACTGTACAGCACAGGAAATTATACCTGTTATTTTGTTATATCCTATAATAGAGTATAATCTGCAAAATACTGAATCACTATGCTCTATACTTGAAGCTAACACAGTCCTGGAAATCAAGCATACTTCAGTTTTAAAGAGGCAGGGAACTCCCCTCATGGTCCAGTTGTTAAGATTCTGCACTTCCAATGCAGGGGGCACAGGTTTGATCCCTGGTCAGGGAACTTAGGATCCCACGTGCTTCGCCACACAGCCACAAAATAAAAAAATAAATATGGGGGATAAGGAGAGGCAGAATCTGCCTTATTAGAAAGGATCACATTTAGTTATAATGGGGAAGGTAACAGTGCAGAGGAATTCCCACTAGTGTGCCTGAGGTCAGTCCCTCATCACGACCCTGTCATCTCTGAGTTTGCCCTTCTAGCTGTCATTGTTCTTGCTACCACTATGTCTGGAATGAGGAGGAGGGCGGAACTAGTGGTAGCTGTAGCTGCCCTCTATGGTCCCTATCACACCCAACTCCAGAAGCATACCTCCTGCATCTTTGGGAATCATTTTCCAAAGTGGCAAGAACATGGTTTAAAAAAATACAGATTAAAAAAAAATCCTATCCTCTTCTCCCAAAACAAAATTAAAAACAAAAACAAAAGACAAGATGAACCTCATCCAAACCCCATATTCTGGTACATTATGGTTAATGTTCTGTCACTGAGAGAATTTGGCATTAATAACAAGATTCATGACATGGTGGCTCCAACTGGTTACTGGACATTTTTGGTTCAAAAGTATAAAAATTGGCTCCCATTCCCCCAACATTAAGTTCTTCAAAAAAGTCTGTAATGCAGAATGGAAACAGATAAAGTGTGACTGCCTTTCGCTAGCTGGGGTATCATCCCTGATTTTATCAATTTTAATAGCTACTTAAATATGTCAAGATCTATTTAAGTTCAGACAAGCACAACTAACATTCAAGGTAGTTCTTTAGAACTAGAATGACTAGATTTGGGTGATACTTAGTAAATTTGTGCTTATGTTTTTTTCTGAGCAAATGAACTGAAATAATTATAAAATTGAAACATTTTATAAGGTGACACTATTGCATTTAATTGTATGAAATTTACAGTGTAGAAAATGTAATCATTTTATTCAGTAGTCCATGGTGTAATTAAGACTATTCTTTTGAGGTGTCTTATATTTATGATCTTCCTCTTCCACTTGGATGAGACACCTCAGATTCAAAATTATACATCCATTAGGTATATTCTCAGGATTCTTTTTAAGGAGCCTGTTTCTCATAGCATGTATATCCCTGGTTTTATCATCCACTGGGATGCTTTTACAGTCAGAACATAGAAGCAGAAGCAGATAGTGCTCTGGACTTCTCCCCTTTTCTTCAGGAGTGGGACCACACAGGATGAGCCATGATTTAATAATAATGTCGCAGCACATAGTGTGTGATGTGCAGTAAAGATCCTTCTTAAATTCCCATCAGAGCACACACCATGAACTGTGCTAATGGATGTAGCACATTTTACAAAATCTGCATGTGTGAGGCTTCTCCATCCTTGTTTTAAGTGGGGCAATGTATATAAATAATAGATATTAGCAATTAAGCATCCATTCCTATGCACTCATTTATATATTTGAAAATAAATTAACCACAAACTACATGAAAGTGGATGCAATCTTCTCTTTTCCCTTCTGTTTCCCCTGCTGTTCCTGAAAGATATTTCTGTATTTATCTCAGTATGAACAATGACCCCCAGCTCTCAATTTCTGCATCCTTAAATTAATTACTATCAAAATTTCCTAAAATGAAGTGAATCTGATTTAACTATTTTAGTTCCTTGATGTTTGCTGTCTAGGATAATAAGAGTTTCTTCACACTGTGGGCCCTTGCCTGGATGTTTTACTCTCTCTTTTAACCAGATACCAAAAGTGTTTATCTTGGTAGGGAGATTTTTTTTTTTTTTTACAACTATGAAAATGAAGGGTAAACTATTACCTAGGTTGTTAGCTTAATATTGGAATTTCCTGGACCAGAGTAGCCTTGGTCCAGGCCTTAACAAGACAGTGTAATTCAGTGGTCTTCATGAATCTCCTTTGCTTTTTTGTAGAGTGAATAGTTGTTTTTTTCCTACATGAGGCACCAGAGTGGAGTTGCTGTTTTAATAGAATAGTCATTTGAGTCTTCCCTGAGAATACAAGGGTTCAGGAAACATGCTGACTGCATTGTCCTTCTCATCCTGCCAAGATACTGATAAGACAGGTCAGAGTGGTTCTGTTGTACGTGTGTGTGTGTGGATACATATAATGGGAATTCCTGATTCTGGAATCATTACAAGAGCTGTGTAACCCTGACACGATTTGACAAAATTCTTTACTGTCACAATGCTGAGAACTCTGTTGTATTGCCTGTCTTCTTGATTAGCATCAGGCTCTAGCAAAACCAGAAATATGGACATCATCTTGACTTAAGGTCATAACCTGGCAGTCTACAGGCCAAAGTTAGCCAAAATCCATGTCTTGTTGTGAGTATCTGGGGCTTTATAAAGGAAGTTGGCAACATCATAAGTGTTGCCAACACTTACAAATTGAGAGGTTGCATGTAACATTCTAGGTCTGGCGACTCTGAACCTCTTTTTCCTTCTGGCAACAATTAGTTGGAGCTGAGTAGAGGTAGCACTCTTCACCTTGCCATGATACTCACCAGTCCCTATTGTTTACCTCCAGGCTTCATTATTCGCATTATCACCTGGCAGCTGCAGGTGGTCCTGTCTGTAGCTTCTAGTCTAAAGCATCCATGACAGCATTTTCACAAGATCATATATAACATGTATTAGAAATCTTTTCCTTACTTTTTAAACCGGTAATCATAATAAAAGCAAAAGTTAGACACCTATTATGTGATAGACTTTGTCCTGGATGTTTTACCCATGCTATTTCATTTGATCTTCAAAACACCGTATGGTGTGTTACTAGCACCATTATATAACTGAAAGTCTGAGATTCATAGGTGGTAAAACTTTATCCACTTTTATACAGTGAATAAATTTGAGTCAGGAATTAAGCTGATGTGATTTCAAAGTTCCTGTTATACAGAGTTCATTTCATTTTTTGTCTTATTTTGAAAGGCAAATATGAATTTAAATATAGACCAGAAACTATACCCTGTTATGTTTTCCTTTGAGAAACTTTGAGTTTTCCTTAAATGCAAATATCAATATGGAATATTATAAAGCTCTTAAATGATTTGCATCTTCTGTAAAGGTCACTGCAAAGTAAGCCTGACTAAAATTCCATATGTCTTAGTCTGAAGTCCATTACTTTGAACTTGACTATGCTGATCATTTAACATCAGCTCAGTTTGAAATTGGTTTTGCAAATGAAACATGCCTCTTATGTTATACATCGAGATGGTTTGGTGTAGCTTTACACTGATTCAAATGCCTAGGAGATAGTGTTACCAGAGGAACCAACCTTTTCCCACAAGCTGCTGATATCAGCATCCTTATAGTTAAAGAAGTCTATTTTTACACTTTTTCAACTTTTTGATACTATTCCACTCTGCCTTCTCCTCTCAGTCCTCTCAGTCTAGACTCAAAGGTTGAATAGTTCCAGATCCAAGAAGAGAAAAAAATTGGCCATTTTTAAAATTTACTTCAACGCTCCACAGCAAGGATGATTATACCTCACTCGAGCTATTTAAAACACTCTGCCTCAGACTCCCACCGTTGAGAGCAAACAACCTGCCAAGCACCTCGTAATTGCAAGGTGACCTTGACATGTGTCATTCACCAGAGTTTTCAAATCAAAATCTTCCTGTTTAATATTCATAAAGACTTTTTTTCCCCCCTAACAGCATATGTGATGATTTTCCAGGGGCCGGGGGTTGGGGAGCTTTATTTAGAGATGGGTTGATTGTGAGAAACATACCATCAGTGTCTCTCGGATGAACTGAAGTATCATTTTTGAGGTAGGAAAATTTCGTCTGCCTTTCTTCAAGGGAGGACAGTGATATGCTGGATTCTGACAGTTTTTTCTCACTGGGGGTTTCCTTGGCTGGTCCATCTGTGATATTGAATTCGGATACTGAATTTATAACGATAGCATTAATGGCTTTCTCATTTGCCTGCTTTTCATTTGTGAGTTGCACATCTAGATGAAAAAAGAAAACACACATACAGAGACCTGCTGTAGTTGACATGACCTAGAGATCTAAAAATGGATGTTTGCAGGCAAATTCCCATGCTAGACTTTTACAAGATTAAAATATTATTTGAAAGTATGAAACATTACTGAATAGGATTATTTTGAATGAAAATATATGTAAGAATAAAAGTGCAATAATTATAAAATTTAAAACACATTGCAATTTTCACATTTCATGGTAATTTGTAACACTAGTTTCCATGGTGGTCTTTGTAGTAATGGGTGGGAGAAGCAAGGCATTCATTCACTATAATTAACAAAAATCTCATAAAATGTTGTCAGCTTATTGTCATAATGTGTTGTGGATCTCAGAAGTAGTATTGGGTTAGCCAAAAGTTGGTTTGGGTTTTTCTCTAACATCTCATTGAGAAACCTGAGCCAAACTTTTTGGCCAATAAAAGGATTTTTAAATGCTGGACAGTACTGTTTAATAGTGTGTATGGTCTCAATCAAGTTGTTGCATTTCTGTGTCTTTACAGACCTCGGTTTCCTTCCCTGTATAAGAAATGGGGTCACACATAACCAGCCTATAAGCTCATTTCTGTGTCTGCCCTTGAAGACTCTTTAGTTGTCAGTCTTTTCTCTGCTTTGCCATTTGTTAGGTCCTTATAAAGGTGATAGTCTTTGTGGCTTTGAGGGTGTGCTTCCTGGGGAACAGGCTTTTATTTCCATGTAACAACCTGGCAGGGAACATCTAGCAAGGTCTTTGAGATTCTGGTTTGGAGAGGCACAGGGAAGACTGAGAAAACCTAGATGCTTCGAGTGTTTCCCAACTCCTATGTTTGTCTACTGATTCCCGCATAATAACTGAGGGTGTTAGCACTGGGCTGGGCCCTGAGAATTCAGCGCGGCCTGACTGGGGCTTCCCTGGTGGTTCAGACAGTAAAGAATCTGCCTGCAATGCAGGAGACCCAGGGCCAGTCCCTGGGTCAAGAAGATCCCCTGGAGAAGGGAATAGCAATCCACTCCAGTATTCTTGCCTGGAGAATTCCTGGACAGAGAAGCCTGGTGGGCTACAGTCCATGGGGTCGCAGAGAGTCAGACATGACTGAGTGACTAACACAACAACAACAGAAGTATGGTCACTGGCTTTTAGAAATGTCAAAAAAAAAAAAAAGAAAGAAAGAAAGAAAGAAAGAAATGTCTAACAAATCAGCAATGCAGTAAAACGTTGAGGAGCGTACAACAGAAGCATACCACAAAATGAGGTTAGAGAGAGAGACCAGACAGGGCAGTGGTGCAAAATATTGCTTACTTGCACCAGTGAAGTGATCCAGAGATGGAGAGAAGGGTTAACAGATGTGAAACACACATCCAGACTGATTCCCAGGAACTTCTCCAGACCTAAACAAGCCCCAGTCCTGGGGATTGGGCAGCACTATTGGGAGATAGTGAAGATGATTTCTGGAGAATTTCCTTTTCCGTCACTAGCCAGCCCAGTGCCTGATTCAGTAATGCTCACTGAGTGACTGAGATCAATAAAAAGAGTTGGCAACCTGGTTTAATTTTCCTGTGCTTAGGCAGCTCAGTGCAAGAAGTATCTTCTTGCCAACTTCATTTTCATGGTCCTTTCAGAAGTTGCTTCTTAGTTTGAAGCAGATGGAAATCTCTATTTGATCCTACCTGCTAGGACAGGGGTTCCTAGACCTATCCACAGAGTAGAATCATCTTGGAAATCTTTTAAAACTTGGAAATATTTTAAAGATCAGGCACCCCCTCTACCCCTTTAACAGATTGGACTACAGTTCCTCAGAGATTTTGGAAGCTCCCCAGAAGATTCCAACATGCAGACAAGTTTGGGAACCACTGCCATAGTGACCTTCTGCTTTTGAGAGTGGAAAAAGAAGAGAACAGGCTACTGATAGGTACATCAGTGATTTTCAGAAGCTAATTATGAAACAGTTGCTCTCCAAAGGCTCCTAACTGGTGTGAGAGCTGACAGTATTGCACACACAATTGTCTTCAGCCTTTTTTGTTTCTTTCTGAGCCTCCAAATAGACTTGACTTTCAGCAGTGCTTAATTTTTATTTTCTGTCTCTTATGCTCTTGGCTCTAAATCTCTTGGATTCAGTTTGATTCACCTTAAAAGGGATTGGCAGAAACGGGGGTTCAGGAAAGTATCTATTGTTGATCACATTTAATGTAATATCAACCTAGACAGCATATTAAAAACCAGAGACATCACTTTGACTACAAAGGTACATATAGTCAAAGCTATGGTTTTTCTAGTAATCATATATGGATGTGAGAGTTGGACCATGAAAGAAGGCTAACACTGCAGAATGTATGCTTTCTAACCTCATTTTTAACTTTCCAACTCTCAAGAGAGGACTCTCGAGAGTCTGTTAGACAGCTAGGAGACCAAACCAGTCAATCTTAAAAGAAATAAACTCTGAATATTCATTGGAAGGATTGATACTGAAACTGAAGCTCCAATACTTTGGGCACCTGATGCAAAGAGCTGACTCACTGTAAAAGACTGTCATGCTGGGAAAAATTGATGGCAAGAGGAGGAGAGGTGACAGAGAATGAGTTAGTTACTGGATAGCATCACAGACTCAATGGACATGAGTTTGAGCAAACTCGGGGCGATGGTGAAGGACAGGGAAGCCTGGTGTGCTGCAGTCCATGGGGTTGCAAAGAGTTAGATACAACTTAGCAACTGAATAACAGTAATAACAATGTAATATTGAATTGATAGAATTAGTTCAACAGATTGAGAAACTCTTGGATTCTAACTCAGGAGAGGTTCGTGGATTTAAGATAATGATGATAATGATAAAAAAGAATATTTTTCTTGCTTGGATATCAAAGTGTCGACTAACCACCTATAATCACAAATAGCCATTCAAATTATGCTTTCAGTACTCTGAGAAATACTGACATTTGGGGCCAGATAATTCTTTGTCACAGGGAAATTATAGAATGTTTAACAACATCCCAGTCCTCTCCCTACCTGATGCCAGCAACACCAATTGCCCCAGGATACAATAAACAAAAATGTCTGTGGATATTGCCAGATTTCCTCCAAGGGTTAAAATCACCCATTTTGAATACCAAACCAATGCCTTAAATGTGTGCGTGCGTGCGCGCGCACACACACACACAGAATTCTATACATTTTATGTCAAGTGTTCTGTGTTACCACTATGTACCTTATTTAAGCATCACAGAGACACTAGGAGGCAGTTTTTGTCAGCCTTCCAGAATACATGGGAAATGTATAAATTGGTACCCCAAGTTAACAGATGAATGAGTAAAACCAAAGCTTAGGAAGTTTATTTAGATAAGTTGCCTGAAGCTTCCTTGTTGGTAAATGATAGAACTGGGATTTGAACCCAGGCCGTTTGGATTCCAAAAACGTTGCTCTTATCCCTGTCTCTTTATATTACTCAGTATTTCCTCCAATTTGTTCTTAGCTTTTATCTCTCCTTCCTCACCCCTGGAACTGCACATCAGCAAAACCCTTTTCACTCTAAATCCCTTGATGTGTCACCTACCAGAAATCAAGCCTTGCAAATAACATCACTTTGTAGACATACCTCTCCCTCAGCAAGTCTTTAAAAAGTAGGACTACCTTCTTGCACATTTAGGGAATCCTGCCTGTTTAGTTACAGCTTCTGTATCCGCAGGAAAAGCTGATAGATAACAAAGCTTGATGAGTATAGAGATTACAGCAGCTATTTACTTACAGAATTAATTAACAATCAGTGCAAATTATCACACATAGTCAGGCAGCATGTAATGTAAATTGCTTTTGCACAAAGTAATTCAGTAACAAAAAAAAAGTTGGATAGAGGTTACTGGAATGTAAGAACATGCGGAGAATACAGTATACAGCCAAGTGGTATATGATTCTCTTTTTAATTTCTCGACACTTTTAAGTATAGCATTTTGAATCTAAGTGGTGTGCTACATTAAGCAACCATTTGGAGACACTGGGCTTGTACTGAGAGAATTTTATAGAGAAGTTAAGCTGCCATTCATAAAGTTATTTTAATTCTATATCTGTTTATATTTTTATTTTTTTCCATTCCCCAGTGGGAACTATCTGTTACTCATTAGAAAATCATCTGACAAACACACATTTCAGAACCCAGTCTGTTCAACCCAGAATTCTGACATCTGAAATGAGTCACAATTTTGGGTGAATGTTACTGACATCTTCCGTCTTTTGTAGATGGAGTGCTAACAATGATTTCCCCAGATTCCTTCTTTTGTGGTGATATTTGACTTTGTACCCAAAGTATTATAAAGTAACATAAGCTAAAAGGAGAAACACATAAAAAGTGGTATCACATCTTCTGCAGAGAAAACTATTTTGGAATTAAATAAGGAATTTGTGAAACTATATTTGGGATGTTATACATAGTTCTTGACATTAACTTAGAGAAAATAATTTTTTTCAACAGGAAAAAGATCACAAAAATTAGGACAAAAATTAGAAGTTCATCTGTATTGTTGGAGAAAAATATTAGTGTATACTGAAAGTCAAGGAAATAGAAAATTTCTGTTTGGGTAGAAGTAATTGCAGAAGCAATGGGAATAAACGCGAGTAACAGGGAAGACAGACAGTTAATTAATTTTTTATTACCACTGAGCAAATGTTATTAATTTACTTCAATTAACATTTATTGAATACCCACATGCAATGGATGAATCAATGTGACAGGAGATATTAATTTATTTACTTGAAGTTTTTAAGGAAACATTTTAATGATTTTCATTTTGCTCACTAACTGTGACTTTGAATTTTTGCATTGGTGCATCTTCAGAGTGTGTGTGTATATATATGTATGAATTCAAATTAAGAATAAGTAGCATTACCCCCACCCTGCCCCACAGACACTCCTCTGATTCATTCTTGTTTTTTTCTTCCCTTCTACTCCCCTTTCTTTCTCTGGGTTTACTTCTTTGACAGACCTTTCATATCTCTGTTACTGGTT